CTTAAATAAATAGGCTAACTATAACAAAGCTACATATAACATTAGTTCACTTGTCTTAATCTGAGGTTACAGGTCACCAATGGCCTTACAAATGTTTAATTCTCCCATAACAGCCAGCGTTATTATATTATTATTTTATAATTTAAATTTTTATTTCAGTTAATTAAAGTGTTTTTTTCCATGCCCAGTTTTAGTTTAGTTTTATAACCTACTAAAACGTTCTTTTAGTTTAGTTTTAGTCTAAAATCACCTTTCTAACTACATGGTACATGGGCTACTTTTATTTTGAAGGTTTTACCGGTTGCTGTCGCTTCCATAAAGGAATAGACCACGTGACTTCCGTTTCCGTTCACAGACTCTCTTCATTATTTGTTCCAAAAGGAATAACAATAAAATGAATCGCCAAAAAACGAAAAACGGGTCGTTTTTAATTTGTTTTTCTTTTTTTGATTCTGACACCAAAAACGGTTATTTGGTTTTTCGTTTTGAAACAAAAAACAGATAAACGGTATTTTCGTTTTAGAATTACAAATGAATTGCGGATTATCCAGAGATACCCAGACCGTCTGTTCATGACCTCAAGCTGAAGCGCACCTGGGTTCTGCAGCAGGACAATGATCCAAAACACACCAACAAGGCCACCTCAGAATGGCTTAAGAAAAGCAAAATGAAGACTTTGGAGTGGCCTAGTTAAAGTTCTGACCTGAATCCGATTAAGATGTGGTGACATGACCTTTAAAAAGCGGTTAAGGCTCGAAAACCCTCCAATGTGACTGAATTACAACAATTCTGCAAATATGAATGGGCCAAATGCTTCATTGGAGTTGTTGCTGCAAAGGGTGGCCCAAGTTATTAGGATTAGGGGGCATTAACTTTTTCACACAGAGCCATGTAGGTTTGGATTTGTTTTCTCCCTTAATAATAAAAACCTTAATTTAAAAAGTTATTTTTGTGTTTACTTGTGTTATCTTTGTCTAATATATCAATTTGTTTGATGATCTGAAACATTTCTGTTTGACAAACATGCAAAAAAAAAAAAAAAAAAAACGACATCAGGAACACTTTTTCACACACTTTAAGTAGTTTTTAAGTTTTTGAATTACAAACGAATTACGGATTATCCAGAGATACCCAGACCCTGGGCCCAGTTGTTCAAAAGTAATCTGATTGGATTTCAGCTATCAGATTGAATCAAATCTTGAAAATGGGTTGTTCAAAAGAAAAAAAGGATTCTGAAGTCAGATCAGATTACCTAATCCAATATTGGTTTTGATAGGATCAAACCTTCAGTTTGTGTTGTTCAAATGTTTTTAGTAGAATTGGGATCCCTTTGATCCAAAAAATCAGGATGATCCTGATCCCAACAGAAGGGTGGGTTCATGGTGGATTTTAAGAACAAAATATCATGTAGTAGCCTATATACACATTTATTTATATTTTGGACTTAGTTTAAACTTTACAGTGACAAAGTAGATAAAGTAGACATTACCTATAAACCATTCAGTACAGTGAATTATAAAAAAAAAACGAACAGCTGTCAATATCAAACAAATAATGTATTTAAAAACTGTCACTTATTACTGTACATTAATTACAAAAGCACAATCATCAGAGGCGAACGTTCAAAGGTAGTTTGTAACAATTGCATCCCTTATTGCAGGTCCAGTCAGTCCCTCATTCTGAGATCGCCTCCTAAAAGCTGAAAGCTGCTCTCTGAACACTGAGTGATCTTTATTTTAACTGTTGGACTATTGGACAACACATGCTCAAAATATCCACAGTGTTATCTGTGAATACTGTATATGTGTTTGTTTTTCATATATTTGTTGTGGGTCAGATGGGGGGTCTAAAGATTAAGAATTGTTGACTGTCATGAAGCTGGAAAGGGTTACACAAGTACCTCTAAAAGTCTTAATGTCCATCAGTCCACAGTAAGGCAAACTGTCTATAAATGGAAAAAGTTCAGAACTGTCCTGCAAAGAGGACAGAGCAGAATGCTCAATGAGAATGAAATAATATCAAACTGACTGGGTATTGGTATGTAAAAAAAACATTACACCACAATAAAGGTAAAGTTTGTGATATTGTTGTGAAATTCATTCTCTGTATTTAATCCATCCTTCAAGGGAGCAGTAAAAAATAAATATGAAAATGACTCCAACTGCAACACAAGGCCTACAGCAAGTTAACTCTTGTAAATGAATATAATATAATATAAATACTACTTATATATATATTATAAACTTATGATATGTATACCTATAGATGGTAACTTATCAACACAACTTGAACTGAGTGTTAAAAAATAAGTCTTTATTGTCAAACGTCAAATTCATATGTAAGCTCGATGTGCTACACATAATCAAAATGTGAACAAGATAGAACATAAATACATAAATCATTAAAAAGTAACCCCTGCCCCCCCATCAACATAAACCCACTCACATAAAGAGGTAGAGACAGATGGACTTATGAAGATAACAGAACAAAGTTCTTTAAAAAAAATTAAATGTAAATTCCCAGATTTTGATACACTCACTGACCAGAATAAAATGCAGCATCTACTAGGAGAAAAATAGTGTCAGCGCCATAGAAGCAGCGAGATATGTCATAACCTGAGAGAAAACCAGACAACACATGACACTGCAGTTAGTCTGCCCACAACTCACTCTGGCTTCTGATTTACTCCTCTACTTAATGGGTTTGTTTCTTTCTTTCATATTGCATGTACATATGATTTTTTCATTTATATATTGTCATTTCTTCATTGATCCTAAACATAAAATGACTTCTTTATATTACTAACCTATGGTACACACGCGCATTTGCTGTTTTATTTATATTAGTTTCGATGAACTGTAATGAATTTAATTGTTTTTTAAAACTATACATGTTTACTGATTATGTTTATATTATTTATGTATTTATTTTTATTTAAACACAGAAATGTTTACTGTTTTATTTATTTTATTTTATTTATTTAACTGTATGATTTGAACTGTTCTTTTGTATTATCCTTAAAACTTTGGCAATACTTTTTGTTATGGCAGAAAACTTTCCTGTGTTTAAGTAACAACAAGTCACTCCAACTTGATTGACGACATCATCAGTATTTTGAATTGACCACACATATAGGCATAGGTACCTAACTTTCATTGCTCTGCGTGGACATGGGGGGGAAGGAAGCAGGCAGCCAAACACTACACCACACGTATTGAAATACAGAGTGAAATCGACGATGCAGTCCCAGGCCCCCCGCCAGACCCTGGGGCCTGGGACTGCATCGTCGATTCCAAAATTGTCACGGCCCTGTCAGAAACTTGGGCTAAATATCCACTCCTTGCCCACACAAGCACCGCCATACCAACTCCTCAAAACACCACAGTAGCAACAGACGTCAAATTTGAATGTTTTCACCGAGGTGAGACTCATTCAAAGGTTCACAGCTGGTCAGTCGGTGTGGCATTTCCCTGGTCTATGCAAACACACCTGGGAATGCACCACTGAATGCACAGTAGACAACAACACAGACTGCCACATTGCATACAAGCCTAGCGCTGACATGCTATCACACCAAATCCGTGTCATCCCTGACCTGTACTGGTCCTGTGGGAGTGGCCGGCTGTACCCAACTCTGCCGGAAGGATGGAGAGAGTAGTATTGGCATTGGAGGTCCTAATCATGCCATACAAAGCCTCACAGGCAGAAACACTCCATCCCAGACTTTTCCTCCATTGATCCTAATGTGTTAATAGAGGGGTTCCAAAATGAGTTTAAAGCAAGAAATAAAATCGTGGCCGGACTTGAATCGAGTCTCCGTTGATGTGGTTGTATGTTCAACAAAAAGATGGAGATGGTGGATACTTTTATTACAGTCAACCGTCAAAGCTTGTGACTGTTAAATACTGAGATATTAACATGCGATTGTCCAAAAGACTAATGGAATTCGTTTTAGGGAATTAATTTACAAATAAAGACCAAACTCTTTATTATCAATTTCTTTCCGGTGACAGGACCATTAGATTGGCGAGTAATGCATACACTATATATATATACTCAGTGATGATGGTTTATATAATGTATAGTATAATTTACTTTTATTAGTTTTTACCTATTTTTTGGGTCCCCTATCAGTCAAGAATTGTCCTAACTTTCCCCCCTGAAGTTAGGGGTCATCTGATGTCACTGATACTGTTGTCAAGGTCCTTTATAGGTCTAGGTGTGTAAGCCTATCAAATGGCAGCACAAATAGATAGAACAGTTATTTTTGTTTTTGTAATTTATAACTGCTAAACTGAATGATCTTGATTGGACTGTTCTGGCAACATTGTCTAAATGAAACATTCATGCCATTAAAGTACACAGAATTGAACTGATTTTAACTAGATTGAACAGTAATGGGCTTAGAACTGAGCCTTGAGGGACCCAACAACAAATGTTATATTTGCTTTGAGGTGACTTTGAGGCCACATTGACAGAAATGTTCAAATTTTCCTCTTGGTTACATTGCAGTTTGCTCTTTAGCAGTCAGAGCTCCCCCTGCTGTCCATAAGATACCTCTGCAGCCAATCCTTAATCCCAAATGCCCAATCCTTAATTAATAATTCTTGTCATTTTCAGATTTGTCATTTGACTTTTAGTTTTAATTCTGACCCAAAAATCCCTCAATACAAACCCCCATGATTTTTTACATGATAATTTATGACCTCTAGTGGTGAGAAGTCAGAACCACAACATAATTGTCATAAATAAAATTATTTTTAGTTTCAGTTTTTTCTAAGTCAGAGGGAGAAATCCAAAGCAAATTATAATAATTATAATAAATACTAAAATTTAATAATTTTTTCTTTTTTTACAGTGAAATATGAGATACAGCCCCCGACACCACCTCATTCATTTTAATACAGTCCAAGTTAAATACAGGACCCTTGCTGCTGACACAATCATACGGCCTAATAATTTTGTTAAATGTGCGGCGAAAGCAATAATTAAACACAATATTTATAGGACCATTTAAAGTCTTCTATTTATCTTTATTGACTTGACTTTATTGAGTGCATTTTGTGGAAATTCCTTCATCAGTCTACATTGTGACACTTTTCTGGATTATAGACACATAATGCAACAAGTGCTACATGCTTCACTTTATTATTGTCATAAATCACTGGCCACTCATTTGAGTGGTGGTTAATCTTTCCAGTGGTAGTTAAGGCACTGAATGTATTCAGGTTAAGCACATTCAGCGAAGTACTCAGAGGCATCCCGAATACTGCACTCTTCCTGAAAGATTAGCCTGATCCTGCAAATAAACAGAAGAGATTAACATTATACACAATGTTGTTTCTTGTTTATTGAACTGACTATATTTATTTCATGACTATATTGGTAATTAATTCATTATTTATTGCATTTAAAAGGCAGATAACAGAAAGCAGTACTTACAATATAAGACTACAATCAGATAAAGATAATAACTTACATTCTGCTTAACTCCTTCTGGGTGGGCGCCCTGAAACCTTTCGTACTGTGGAAATATTCAAAAAAACACAATTAAATCATTAGGGTTTAGGTCCTATTAAATCACATAGGGCAATCTAATGATATCCTTATTCTTTTAAGCCTGACTGACTTCCGGCAACAACCAATGAAGTCACAGACATCAATTTTCAAGGACAAAACATGAGGTGCTTCAGCAGCCGAATGGTTCATTAGAATCAGAATCAGGACAATGGACCACTTCATGGACCATTCACTAACTGGTCTGGACCACTAGCTTCAGCAACAGACCACTGAATTTTGTACAAAACATTGTACAATAAAGTCAACATGAATTAACATAAGAAGTTGCTGTGTAGGCTTTCTGACATTTGATCCGCCTTTGATTCCACTGTGTAGAAATTTAAAAATCAACTTACACAAGCTGGTTGAGGAATGTAACCAAGCAGCTGATGTCATCACTGATGTTGTCATCAATCAAGTCTGGAAAGAAAATGACATCAAATTTGAGCAAATGTACACAAACTTTAAACTTTAAAAGTATAAAGATTGAAACTCACTGTTGCAGTCCATCTCACAGATGTTGGGTGAAAGAGCTGTGCCGTTGCAGACCAGGTGACTGCTGAGCTGGAAAAGACCATAGAGGGTCCAGACCTCCTCGTCCAGGTGTGGAAGGTATGTGGATGGTGTGGGGCGGGTGGAGGGTTTGGGATGAGTGGGCAGTGTGGGGTGAGTTTTTGATGGACGCTGCCTGTCGTGCCGTCGCTCCCTGGCGTGGGGTCGGATTGTGATTAAGGGGTCCTTATGCCCACCCAGGTGTGAAGGGCGAGTGGGTCGTGTGGAGTTTTTGGGAGGGGTGTGTGGTGTGGGATGAGGATGCAGTGTGGGGCGGGTGTTTGATTTAGGCGGCTTGACGTCCCGTCGGTTCCTGGCCTGGATTGTGGTTGAGGGCTCACCAGACTGGTTTGGGTTTGTGGATAGTGTGGGAAGAATGGGTTCTGTGTTATTGGTGAAGGTTGTTGATTGTTGATTGGTGGATGGTGTGGGACGGGTGGTTGATGTGTGCCTGGGTTTTGATGGGCGCGGCCTTTCTCCGGAGTGGTGTTCACGCTCTCTGGAGTGGTCTTCACGCTCGTCCTTGCCAAACGAGCCCTTACGGTCTGCTTCCCTTTTCTCCCTACTATGATGGTTTTCCATTCTGGGAGTCAGCTGTTTCACTGCACTGGTGTTAAACTGTGACGTCAGCTCCACGTGACAGACGACTGAAGGCAGGGGAGAGAAGAGAGAAATACATCTCCAAATTTCATATATAACATAATTATGGTCCCCAAAGGATGAATCCTAATGATTTTATGAGCCCCTAATTTCTCCTCCAGCTCCACCATAAGCTCAAAAAAATATCAAAATTTAAGCCAATGCATTTTAGGCACGATGTGAGTTTTAATCTTTAGCAAACCGAGCCTTTTAAAGGATAATTCGCTGCTATTCTGTGTTTTACTTGAATTTCTGTTGCTGTAATACAAAACTATTATTGTTTGTATCCAAAGCCCAATATATGTGTTTTCTTTGTGCCATTGTGCTCCATTGTTATGAGGCCATATTAGTCGAAAGGTAGTGGACAAGTTAAATGTTTGACCTGCTGGAGGTGCTAAATAAAAAACAAAGGATCAGTTGTTATTATTCTATAATAACACATAATATAATAATCATTATGATAAGGTGAAAGTCATGGATTGTTGACAGTATTGGGATTCATCCTTTTGGGGATGAAATATCTCGGTAATCCATTCAATAGTTGTTCAGACATTTCCATCTGGATCAAAGCAGTGGACCAACTGACCGACCGTGCTATCCATTAAACCATGAAAGGCTAATAACAAATGAGCACCTAAGGCACCAAGGGGAAGTCAAATTGAAGGTCTAAATGGTTCAGTTTAGGTTTCCCAGGAGCTCTCAAACTTTTATTAAAACAACTTTTAATTTCTTGATCACAAATCACATTTTACAGTTATATAGGTTTTATTAATACTTTACTTCAAATTAACAATTAAATATTTAATTATTTTCAACACCATTAATTGTAGGCTTCAATGATTCTAATTTAAAAGTTCAAAATGAGACTTACTCTTGGCCACTAAGTTCTCCACACTCTGCCCTTTTTCAGCCTTCACCAGCAGTGCACCAAATGCCGTCATCAGTTGGTCCTTCAGTTCACATTTGGACACAAGTCTCCCTTCAGCCAGACTGCAGCCCAGCACTGCTAAGAGAAACACCTCAAGTACTCTCATCCTGACTCCAGTTATCATCCCCTGAAAACTAACATGACATGGAATGATATATATATACTCTCTGCCGCACCTCCAGCGGCAAATCAGAGTGAACTTTTGTTCTGCTCAGATAAAGGCCACTCCCTCTGTGTATACAAACAGGGCTCTGGGAGTACACAATGTGCAAACCTCACGCATAGCTTTGGCTTTCTGAGCTTTAAATAGCTTAAGGAGAAAAGCATTCCATCTACCTGAAAACATCTTTTCAGATTTACAGATCACGCTTTCATCCTGTTGAAAAGACAGTGATACTAAAACCAGCTTTGAATTTCTTCTTACGTCATATAAATTTCAGTGGATTGGGTGTCAGTGCTGGTAGTGGGGCAACAGTGAATACGGAGTGTGTGTTAAGTATCAGGCCATTAGTTTCATGAAGGCAGCTGTCATGTTTAGCAAAACAAACAAAGGAAAGAATAATACCAAGAGCAGCAAAACAGCAACATGAAAGTTGTGTGGAAAAACCAGTAATTTCACTTTTAATGAATACTTTTTTCCATGAAGGGTCTAACAAGACCACGTCAATTGTGCAGTAGAAGGGAGTTTTTTCCGATAGCAAGAGGTATTGAGAAGGATTGGATGAAGGAGTTAAATGGAGGGATGAAGGGGTTGGTTATCGTCTCAGAGTGGGGACACATCTCAATAAGTGTTTTCTTTATCATCCCCCAAAATAAGCGTCACTGGACTATGTGGAAATGAGCTCTCTGGGTGTCACTGAGGTTGTTGTGGATGTAGCTATAGTAGGCTTAGGAAGACTAAGTTCACACGGCATCTGCAGCATTCCTTTCAATTACCATTGATCTATTTGACTGTGTGCTCTGCCAGCATTTTTGTTTTGATTGAAAGGACAGATTTTATTATTTTATTTATTCTCTAGTAATGATTGTTTTTATTTTTGGTTTGAATTTTAATTTTAAAATCAATATTCACAATTAAGTAGTTGTGTTTTTACTGTATGATAATACAGTATGACAACTTACCTGCCAATGGGGCAAATTGTCACAAGTGCACACTTTCTATTCAACAGTCTACAACTCAGTAATAAGATCAGATATGAACACAAAATATGTGCCCAAGACTTCCTTCTTTCATTTGGTATGACATTTGTACCATTGTGCTCTAAATTGTCCTTAGGTATGAGCGTGAGTGGTTGTTTGTCCATGTATGGCCATGTGATGGATTAGCGACCTTTCCAGGTTGTACCCGAGTTTGATGAAGATAGTGGAAGTTGCAATCGCAGGGACAGGGGAAGTGTACGTTCAGGCAGTCACAAAGGTGAGATATTCACCGCAGTTAAATATGAAGCCATTAGTTTCCTGAGGACAGCTTTCATGTTTAGTCCAACAAAGGAAAGGACATTACAAAGAGCAAAACAGCAACATGAAAGTTGAGCGGTAAAACACATAATTTCAGTTTCAGTGAATACATTTTCCATGAAGGGTCTTGTTCACTAACAAAGACCACGTCAATTGTGCAGTAGGAAGGAGTTCATTCAGATAGCAAGAAGGATTGAGAAGGATCGGATGAAGGGGTCAAGTGGAGGGATATAGGGGTTGGTTAGCGTCTCAGAGTGGGGACATCTTAATAAGTGTTTGCTTTACAATCCCCCAAAATAAGCATCACTCGACTACGTGGAAATTAGCTCTTGAGGTTGTGTGGATGTAGCTATGGTAAGCTTGGGAAGACTACTGGCCAAGAATTTGTGTGATCTGGGATCCCTTGTCTGGAAGCTATTGAGGCTGCTCTGGAAGACAGTTCAGGAGAAATCCTCGATTTGGACAAGATTAGCATAGATGGTGGAGGAGTGAATCAGTATTGCGTACCAACTTTGCCTGATTCTGTGGTGAAGAGAAGAAGTGAAGAAGCACAGTGGGATATTCTCTGGTTTATGCAGGCTTGGTTGGGTTCAAAGAGGCTCAGGTGGCGCTACACTTCCAAAAAGTTTATACCTCGTAATTCACTGTACAGATTCGTACGAAATTTGGTTTGTACGATATTGGGCCACTGCTCAGTTCATGCATGACATTTTGTAATAATTGTTCAAAGTGGGAGTGGATTATTACAAGAACTGTTAATTTCTAGACATTTCATTCCTAATTTCAAAAAAATCTGAGAAAATCACCCGTACGTCCTAGAGAGCTAAAACATTTTCAGCACATCCACTGATATGTGAACGTTTGCCTCACTGCAACCTATGGTCAATTCAGAAGTCAGTCACTTTTCTTTTTTGCTCAGTCTTGGATCAAATGCCACCAAAATACTAGACAACACACCCAAAACCATCAGGATGATGTGTGATGTGCGTCTGTTCTCCTCTGAAAATGTCAAATGTTGCATTTTTCATGACTTGCTTGGATCTCGATCATTGCAGCTATATTTTCATTTAATACTTGAAAGTGCACTATAGGACAATTATTTTCAAAATAGTTTTTATATATTTACAGGAGGTACACTTCTTAGGTTTAAAATTTACTTTTTAAAATTTAAATGTTTGAAACAGGTTGGGTATACAGGTTGAGTTTGTTCATTTTTACAGATTTTACACTTTATTTGTCCACTAGCTACACACCTGTCAGTTTCAATAAATTTAGTGTAGTAACTTATTGTCACGAACCTCAGCTGGAAGTCCAGGGGGAGGAGGTTAGTGACAATAATGGTTCCAGGTTTGAAGGAAAGGAGGAAACAGCTTACATTGAAAATAAAAAAAGCCATTTACTTACAATGAAGGGTAACAGAAAACAACTTCCAAAACGGGAAGCTAAAAACAAAAGTGTCTTACTAAGGGGTACTAAGGGGATGTGGAGGCAAAAGTTGAACACCAAAAAAAGGTTGAGTTAGCAGTTCAGCACATCATGCAAACAAAAAGGTAAAACACACTGGGACTTCAGTTGCCACTATAGGTTACACCCTGCTCCTCTCAGCTGTCCGGCAGCTCATGGCTGGTCTTTGTGGTGGCAAGCTCTTGTGCTCTGATTATTAGAGTGGCATCAGCCGTGCTCCTCGGGGCCCAGTGTGCTGGGAGCCTTCTCATTTCCTGTCTTGATTAGGTAACAGAAAAAGCATGGTGAATTAATGAAGTACTCAACTGTCATGGTTTTCAGAATGAGTGCAAGTAGAAGTGTGAGCCCAAATGCAAGACACCAAGAACAGAGAGAGAGTTCAGGGATTTTATTAACACTTACTGAGAACACAGGGCGTACACAGAAAGGTGCAGACAAAGTCCAAAATAGTCAGGTAATTCAGAATCCAACAAAACACTCTTCCAAACAACACAACTGAGTGTAAACACACTACAATACAATAACCAGACAGAGACTGAACAGAAACACCAGGCATATATACACAGGGACTAACGAGCAGCACAGGTGACAGGACTGACCAGGCAGAGAGACAGCAGGGGAAAACAGAGGAGTGAAAACATTCTGTGTTATGTTGTGATCAAACCAGTGTGGATTTGTTCATTTTATATCAAATCAATTTGGAGATCCCAAAGTCTTTCTCTCTCCCTAAGAGAAAGAAAAGGAGGGGGTTTGAGATATCAACCCTCAACAGACAGCTGAAGCGACCAAAGGAGGAGGTGAAGTGCTGTTTCTGTGGCAGTTCCATCGTAAAACTTGCCACCTCTGGTGCAGCAGCCAGATAAGACTCGGTGCTTGACTGTTAAAATGACAAAGAAACACTAACCAGAGATTACTCTTTAAGAGAGGGCAGGAAACCCTAAACTGCCCCCCCACACACGTAACCATGGCAACTGACCTCCCTCTTTGTTTAATTACCTCAAAGGATATTCTCCTCTTCACACCCAGACGTGAATTCGTGAGAAACTCCAGAACACAAGAGGAGGACAGCCCTGAATTCCTTTGTGTAAACAAGGAGTACAGTCTCCTCAAAACTCAAAGTATTACCTTGTTTAATTTAATAAATCTTTAAGTTAACAGGTCTCTCCACTCCATTTGAGTAGTTATGTTACCATGTTGTTGATATTGTTGTAAGAATCTAAATAAGTTACTTTTGCAGCGCTTTTATTTTCAGCAAGGATCCCTGACATTTCTTCATTTTATGTTGTAACCAATGCTTTGTTCCCAACACTTTCTGACACTTCCTTTAGAAATTATGATAAAGAAATGTCATCCTATACTACTCAATTAATTTTCCAGCTCAAATTTAATGTTAAATAACTAAATTATTAAATTATACTGAGCAAAGGATTGTTTAAAGAATAATCAAAGCTATCTTCTTGGAACCAGAGCTCCTCCAAGAGGACAAAATAAGTATTACATGCCATCATTCTGAAATGCCGTTTAAGGTATAAATGTCACTCTGTATTTACCTGTTCATAATCTGATGCCATTTGTGTATCTTGCTTATATTCTCTAAGTTGTTCAGTCAACTCTGAGTATGTTGAGCCTGATGGAAGCGTGCGTGGGGATGGAAAAAAGCCATCATCAATGGAGCTCCGCTACTACGATTCACCATGGCAACGGGTAAATAAAGGCAGAGGCTCCATTTTAATCGGGTGGAGCTAGAAATATGAATGCTGCCAACGCGGACCATGATTGGCTCTAAAACGCAGGATCGATACATTAACAATATTACTTTTATACAGTGCTGCTCATTCATCATTTAGAAGACTGGAGTTTCCTTAATGAATGATAATGAGCTGGGATTCTCCTACAGCCTGTTATTCATTTTAAATAGCTACAGGCCTGTTTATTCAGCTGTAACCTGACGGGACTAAATGCTGGTGGCAATAACTGAAGATGAAAATATTAATCTAACAGATTAGACATAGTTTAGGCTCCTCATGGACCTGTGATTGTAAAGTGACACACCACTCAGTAGGCCTATTAGTGATTTTTTGTAATTTAAAATGTGTCCAGGTTCAAACTGACTGAAGTTTTAGACATCTGTTACATTATAAAATCTTGCTCATTTCGTATTTTCTGAAATGCTATCAAAACACATTCAGACAGGCAATCAACAGATAATGAAAAACTAATT